TCGTAGGCTATGCCTCAGCAGGGCAGACGGCTGGCGGTCGGCGCTGTCAACGGTGGCAAAGTAGACAATGGGATTGAGGTTCAGAAAATCAGAGAGTATACAGCACCCCCGGGAATAGCGCTTGAAATTAAGTGTATTGGGCCAACCCCTCGGGGTGGCAGCCCACCCATAGCTTCCTGACTGGCTTACGGTATGCCCTACGGTGTGCGCCCACGGCGCGACACATTTATTTTCACGCGCATTTTACGGGGGTGCTGTATACACCCTGAATTCCAGACCTTATAAACTTGTAAGCCGACAGCCGTGTGCCCCATACCTCGGAACAACGCTAGTGCCGTTTTTTGCACGATGATCATAGCTCATGACCCTTCTGGGAATTAACGACTTCTAATTATTTATTTTTAGGCACTATATCTACAAAATGGGGGTAATTGATTGGCAGAGCTTCTGTGGAGGAGATTTATGGGTGAGTTTTTCACGAACATGACTTTTTGTAGTCATACTCTATTTATCCGCACAGCTGTAACACTAGCGTTGGATTTTTTAATTAGCGTCCTTGCTGTGAGACAAAGTTAGCGATTGGTAGAGCTTATCATCATTCTTATCTTATCAAAAAGGTTTTATTTCAGCACAACCCTTTCTCAACAGGTCTTCCAAATGTGTCAGTATGTTTTCAACACACAATCCTCGTTTGGATTCCTACTGCCTTCTTCTGGGTTCTTTTGCCTTTCCTGTTTGCACAGGCAACATTGAATTCGCGTAGGTATAGAAGTTTGCCTTGGAGTCTTCACTTGATCCTCAAAATGGTTGGTTCTTTTTCAATCTGTTTTCATTCTGTTTCATTGTTGATTTATAATATAGAGATTATTTGTCTAGTCTAAATTATCACATTTTCTCTCGATTGAGTGCTGATATAGTTTCGTTCGCTTTAGATGACAGGGCGTGTCAGCGCGGCTGCGTTTGGCGCGGCACCGACTCGCTTTTTCCTTTTTTTTACTTTTAGTAAGTGACAGGACTCTATCATATCGTTTGTATCAGTCGTTTTCCATCAGTTGTTGTCACTAATCCTCTTCAGCAACCGGTGGATAGCCGGGTGGCGTCGTACCAAACGCAGCTGCGTTGACACGCCCCGTCATGCCAGCGAAAAAGCAGGGCTGTAAATTAGCGGAGTATTGAAAACCAGTCAAGTTAGAATTACTGTGATGCATATGTTTTCAGGGAATCACGACCTTCATAACCTTGGTATCTTTATTTATTACGTTTTATACAATCTTCTCCAGTGCTTCATTCCCAGCATCGGATATATTATATCCAATACTATATAGCGTAACTTTCGTGAGTAACTAAGTTCTTCTTTGCTGTCGCAAAGCGTCCAAGATTTGGTGCTAGTAACCTTAAAGGAGCACTCAGAGACCTTCTTTGAAACTGTTGATGCTTTTGTGAAGGAGATAAGCAGTTCTGTTTGGCCTGGAGGGGGAAAAGTTTCGTCGTCGACGAGTCTATTTAAACAATCCAGTCATTTAAAGTCATCGGATTAAACGACTTGGG